AGCAATATGAACTAATTTCATATACACTTTGCTTAGTTTCTTGGGAAAGAGAGTCATTGGGACACATCTTTGGGGATCAGCTGAGTTCAGCTATAGCTCTAACTATGGCTAGGCATTCTGGGATTGGACAGTCTTGGCCTTGGTATCTTATCAAGCCTGGTGAAATATTAAACTAAAATAAGTCAGTCTTTTACTTCAAATATACTACTGTGCCTGAACTCAATTGCTACAAGTATTATCAAGTTGCCTCAGTCACTTTTCAGCCCTTAACTACTTTGAATCAGTCTAATGACTAAAGAAACAAATTCTTGGTAAAAATTCAATGAGACTTCTGTTTTCCTCCAAATATGGTAAACTAGCCTGGACCTTCATTTTTCCTTGCACAATCCCTGTTGTGGACATGATACCAAAGGCTTAAGGAGGCTGATGGGTTTGTTAAACTATTATAAAAAATAAGAATCACCAAGGGTGAGAAATATAAGTTGTTGGGTAACAGGTGTCTATTAAAATAACATCCAGAAGTGAGATAGGGAAAAATATTGCCTATGTGAGTATGGATGGGAAGAGGTTTTTAAGTATGATATGGTCTTCCTATCATTGACTTTTGTGGATCGGTGCCACAATATTCGCTTCTTAAAGCAGAAAACAAAAAACAAACAAAAAACATCTAGCACTGGGCTAACCAGGACTAGTAAGGTAACATCAGAATTATTCTCAGATGCCCAAGTTGAAGATGGGAGTAAATAACAACGCAACACAAGGGATAGTGATTTACCCCATGGAAAAAGAAGTATCAGTGCTCTTTGCCCTGAGAAATGATGCTATTGCTATCCTCCAAAGTTGGAGGCTGGGACTTGGATCTTGATCTCTCTATATGGATTCATATTACTAGGCTGATGAGCCAGTTTCCCCAGGAAAATATGAAATCAGAGAGAAAACATTAAAAGCTGTTTTCACAGAGCAACCATTAGTGAAAAGAGATAACAAAATAGACCATTAACCAGTTAAAGTAGATTTATAGGAAAAGGCAGAATAAATACAGGGCATAATAATAGAAACATGAATCAAGAAAAATAAGACATTAAAAGTCTTGACTGAAAATACTGAGTCTGAAAAATAATATAGTTGATGAAAAAAACCAACTCAACAAATAAGTTCAATTGCAGAATGGATACAACCCAAGAAGAAATATATCAACTAGGAGAAAAGGCCAAGTAACTCTCCCATAACAAAGACAGTACATCATGACCAGGGTGGAATTTATTCCAAGAACATGGTATTATTCAATATTAAGAGGTATGGTAGTAATATTCATCATATAATACGCAAAGATAAACCCCATATGATAAATCTCCATAGATGCGGAAAAAGCATCTCACAGAATTTAACAGCTGTTCTTGATTTTCAAGTGATTAGATAAAATTAAAACTGGTTACTATTTACTTAACATGACAAAAATGTTTACAGTGGATTAAAAATCCAATAACTTAGGAGAGAAAAATGGGATATTCCTTCTATAATAAACATATAAAAATGGTCATATTACCATTACTGCTTACATTTTATTTGAAGTATTAGCTAACACAGCTAGCCAAGTTAAATATAGTAGGAGAACAAGAATTGTGGGTTAAGCTGAACATAAAATTAACATATAAATCAATAATCTTCACACATAAAAGTATTTTGCTAGACAACATATTGAAGGGTATATCCCATTTAAAACATTAAAGTAAAATAAAATAACTTTATTTTTTATTTTTAAAGATTTATTTGAGAGAGAGAGAAAGCATGCATGTGGGGGGTAGGGGCAGAGAGTGAGGGAGAGAGAATCTCAAGCAGACTCCATACTGATCCCAGAGCCCGACTTGAGGCTCAAGCTCATGATCCTGAGATCAGATCCGAACTGAAACCAAGAGTTGGATGCTTAACCAACTGTGCCACCCAGGAACCCCGTAAAATACCTTTATTTTTTTTTTAAAGATTTTATTTTTTTATTAGAGAAAGCATGAGCAGGGGAGAGGGGCAGAGGGAGAAGCAAACTCCCCACTGAGCAGGGAGCCCAATGTGGGGCTTGATCCCAGGACCCCGGGATCATGACCTGAGCCAAAGGCAGATGCTTAACCTACTGAGCCACCCAGGTGCCCCTAAAATACCTTTAAATACACTTAACTAGCAGTAAGTTAGATGAGAAAAATTAAAGTGGTTCTGAAGAAACCAAAAACCTAAAGGAGACTTGAAAAAATTAAAATGCTTTCAGTATTTTGTGATATGTAGATTTAACACCAAAAAGGCGTCAATTATCCATAAATTTATTTATAAATGTAATATCAACCTGATAAATATACCAACAGAATTCTCTCATTCCCCCCGCCGGCACGATTGAAGCTGAAGGAACCCTAGGTAGGGGAGAAAGCAGTGTCCACTTGAGAAGCCATGGGAGAACAATGTCATCAAGGTGATGGACAGGAAACACACTGAGAGGAAGTTGGGGACACATAGTGAGTTGGTGTCAATGGGCATTCCTGAAAGCACAGTGAAAGGGATTTTAGGAAATAAGGAAATTAGGCCAGAAAAAAATCAAATAGGGAGTAGTATGAGTATGCTGAATGGTACATGGTAGAGATTTCTGATGAGAGAAAACTATTTTGGATTTAATCTTCTGGAGATGTGGTAATAGCCTTCCAAAGTTGAGGGTTATTCTAGATACAATAGTGGTGGTCAAGAAGGAGGTGGAGAAGGAGGAAATGCCCATCACTTATCCTAAGCACATATGGTAGCTTACCTGCGTCAAGGTGGAGTGCTTTGTGATCAAGGGCAATCACTTTAAAAATGCTCTGAGTGGGTGCTGGTCACAGAGCCGCTGAGCTCTTAGTAATAGTACTGATGAGAACAGGGAAGGTAGGATGGGGAAACATTGTCATGAGGTAAAATAATATTCATGAGGTAAAAGGAAAGTCTGGTTTTGTTTTGGTGCTGTTCAACTTTATCTGATCTCTGTACTCCCAGAAAATAGCAATGATTAAGAAACCCCCCTATCTTTTTGCTTTCCAGGAAACAGTGTGATGCAAAGAACCACCCTTCTTTGTATGACATAGGTAAGTTTTGCAGTGTTCCCCTTGATTACCCTTGACAAGTCTAGACATAGAGATTCTAAATCTCCATTCTTTGTTTCATGAATGATTAACTGCCCTGCTTGTTCTCACTGATGGATCTGAACAAAATGCCCAGTCATGTGACTTCGCTAAAATTTAGTTGGATTTTTATCCTCCCCTCTGATCTCTGACTTGCTTCTGAGGTTCTGCAAGGCACTAGAACATAAAACAGCTCTTCCTTTATGGCCCCTCCCAAGAACGAAGACCAAAAAGAAAACGCACACATAAAAATATTTCTTGCTCAACTGTCTGATCATGCCACCTGTTCATCCCTCTCCTTCACAAATGGTTCTTTGTGGTCTTGTTTGCTCCTCCCTAAAAATGTCCTTTCTGTCTGACCTTTAAGACACTTAGGAATCAGATGGTCAATGCATTCTCTAATTGCACTAGTCTCCCCCAGTAACGTTTTCCTTACTAATGTCTGGACTTGGATGTTTTCTTTGACACTTTTTAAATCTTGTTTTCCTTTGCTCACTGACATCTGCAGTGGTTCTTGTTCACCTAAAGTGGAATTTGAAGAGTGGTTAAAGCCATAAGAGGGCTGCAGATACATGCTTGAGACTTCCCTTCATGGAGGTGGGAGGTGACAACTGACAGCTTGAAGTAATGAAGTAAATGAGAATTTTCAGGAGAGTTTGCAAAGAGAGAATAGACTTTGAGCTAGAACCTTCAGACATATTAGATATTTGAGGAAAATTAAGAAATCCTAGTACTGGTGATATTCAAACAACACAGGGGTTGGGACACCACCCGCCTCATAGTGGAAAATTCATGTATAACTTGAATCCCCCAAAACTTACCTACTAGTTGCCCACTGTTGACTAGAAGCCCTACCAATAGCATGAACAGTTGGTTAACACAGATTTTGTATGTTATATGTATTCTGTACTGTATTCTTAAATAAAGTGAGGTAGAGAAAAGTAAATACTATTAAGAAAATCATTAGGAAGAGAAAATACACTCACATACTGTACTGTTTTTATAAAAAAATCTGTGTATAAGTGGACCTTTAGATTTCAAAGTCATGTTTTTCAAGGGTCAACTGTAGAGAGGAAGCAATAAAGTAAGAAATCTTTCCTTTTCTCTTCCTGCTCTTCCTCCTCCTCCCCCACCTCCCCTTTCCTTCTCCCTATTCTTCTTTAAATGATTAATTCCATGAATAGACTTAATATAAAGAAATCCTTAAGCAGCAGTTATGATACTGTGGAAGGAGCTTTGGAAATGGAGATATTTGGAATCTTACCCTACTTTAACAGCAATTACCACTTTGACAGTAAAAGTAATTTTATGTATTCATCTGTTTTCAATAAAGGGAGTGAAATTGATACTGTGAACAGAAGCATCTGAAATGAAGTCAGGAATGTCAAGAGGCCACAAATGGGAGCCGGGAGGCCCCTGAGCAGGTCAGTCTTATGCTTATCCATACTTGGATGGAACATGAACTTTTTAGACTGCCAACCACAAACAGCGCATCCTGTTGGAATTCTCCGAATGAGGCTTATTTTGCCATACTCCAGCCTAGCAATTAGCATGGTAACCTGGCCTGTCTACATCAACGTTAATTATTTTTACCTATGTCCATCATAATTTTTTCAAAACAACTTGTACAAGCATGTGGTTTTGCCTGTGTAAACTCTGTCTTTCTCCTTCCCCCTTGGAGCACATTTCATTTCCATCCTGAATCTCCGTCTCCCCGATTCACATTCCTAAAGACCCCAAATAAACTTTTGGTTTGCTTTATCACCTCAGTTCCTTCTTCTTCAAGGTATTATCTGTCTAAAAATCTAAAAATTCGAGTTCTGCTTTGTCTTCAGCAGGATTCACTGGCTTTCATAAAAAATGTAAAGGATGCTAAAAGCTGCCGTCAAAGCTTTCAAAGATGCAATACAGAAGGTTGTTGAAGTCAAATCCTTAAAGAATGCTTCAGAAGAAAATTATTCTAAGGACAAGTAAATTAATGATTATTATTATGATGCAAGTAGATTATGGTATGAAGTAATTATCAGTGAGCAGGCATGAAAAGTGAAAATATTGACAAACCAGTAAATCATTTAAAGGAAAAAAACAGCAAAGATGGAACTTGGGCCCGAGTGAGTGCCCATTCCAAATCTTCCATCAAAGCCTTCTGAAAGAGACTTTGTAGTTCCCCCTGAATTCTAGAGGACACTGGCTGACCCCAACATGTGAAAACATTAAGTGAACAAAAAAAAAAGTCTTGAGAGCCCTCTTGGTAGTAGGAGTGTTGGGGAAGAATGATACGAAGAAGAAAAATTTCACCGTCTTCCATGTCTGAGGATAGTGATTCGACAGTGATGGTAGCTTCTTCACTGGGAAAATCATTGTTCATGTTGAAAGAGGGAAGGTGGTTGCCATTCTTCAGTTAAGGAACAGAAAAGCCCCAAAGAGTGTTAACCCAAAAAAGACATCCTTGAAGCCTGTGGGGTTAGAGGAAACAGCAAAAATTATTCAAGGACTGAAGACAGGAAGTTTGAATATGTGCTTTCCTGTTCTTTCTCTGGATCCAAGAGCTCTAGAAAAAATTATAAGGAAAAACTGGCCCCGAATAGCAAAACTGCAGTTTTTCCTCAAAATAAACCTGAGATCAAGAATCTCTCTTTAAAAATTTAAACAATTGCAGCTACCCCCTCATTGTTTATGGGAAGCAAGCAAGAGGTGCTATTCTTTCGAATAACAATTTAAAATTGTTGTTTTAGGGGAAGAATGTACATTTGATGAGTGATTAGTGAACTCTGTGAACATTTCCATCTAAAATTTTTTTCTTTCTTTTTTTTTTTTACTAACCTATTATTTAAACATAGTATTTGACTCAACCTCTTTGGAATAGTCATAGAAATAAGTTTGTTTTGTCTCTGTTTTTCTTTTTTAAGTGTGTTCAAGTTATGTTTACATAAGCCTTTCACAAATCAAGTATATATTTAAATTCATTTTTAATAATATGCTCCAGAATATTTCCTCTATGATGATTTTGGGTTTATAATTATCTCATATTTTTCATTTGTGCTTATCATGAAATGCATTTCACAGGTTCAGCTCTCGTGTTTTTGCCTTGAAAATAAATGTCAAGGTAAATTTAAAATAATAATAGAAAATCATTAGGAGGAAATTATAGCAATTGAAAACGGATCACCTTTGGGGCCCCTGGGTGGCTCAGTCGGTTAAGCGTCTGCCTTCAGCTCAGGTCATGATCCCAGGGTCCTGGGATTGAGCCCCACTTCAGGCTCCCTGCTCAGCGGGAAGCCTGCTTCTCTCTCTCTCTCTCTCCCTCTGCCCCTCCCCACTGCTTGCTCTCTCTCTCTCTCTCAAATAAATAAAATCTTAAAAAAGAAATAAAAGAGAAAATAGATCACCTTTGTTAAGTTATTCCTGTTAGCCAAACTAAGATAAACTTCTGTTATGGGTATATAGATAATAAATTATACAAATAAAAATTACTTTTTAATTGTAGTTTAAAAAATAAAATAAAACAGATCCCTCAAGAAATCTCCAATGTTGGCACCAAGCATTTAGCACTGATGCCTCTGTGAAAAGGTTTATGTTTGCAAACCATCTGTTGGTGAGTAACGACTTTCTCCTGGGGTGATTGGGTTAGTTTATTAAAAACTTGTAGAACATTACTTTTTCCTTTTATGCAAACTCCCATAAAAAAAAACTTAACTACAGGTAATTTGACAAAATGAAATGTTAAATATCCTTTTATCACTGTAGGAAGAAATGTTTTTATCACCACAGGTAGTAAAAGACAGCCCTTGCCAGAAAATGTATAACGTTTTACATCTAATTGGTCAGAGCACCCATTTTAAAGTGCATTTAAATGAAAATGGAAACATATTCATCAAAGCAGCACAATGCCAATTTTCAAGAGAATTTTACAAAAGCAATTCTTTCATCAGATTGTCGAAAGCAAGTGAGAATTGCCATTTTGGACTAATAAGGGAGAACAGAGAAGGGAAATTGATTTAAATGACTAGCATCATTAAGATTAAGTAGGATGTGAAAATATTTAAACAGAGTAAATGCTGAACGTAAATTAGCTATTTCAGATGTCTTCAGTTTGCATTTGCCCAATTTTCAGTGCTAAATCCTGACATTTTAACTTAGATTTGTAATTTTTTATACCCATCTTGTGTGAAAACACTCAGCATACAGTCAACTCTTGATGCATCTTTATCAAGTGTTAACAATCATTCAGGAAGTGTATTAATACTTTTATTACTTAATCTTCAACTCCATAAGATTGCCACCATATGAAGAGGAAGAAATTGGGGCATCGGAAGTTCAACTCGCTTACCCAACGTCCAATAAGTACTAAGTGACAGATTTGGGATTCGCACTCAAGGCTCACCCCCAAGCCTATGCCCTTAAACTGCCGTGCTTTACAGTCATAAATATGATTCAAGAGAGACCATTACAGAAATTAACCTCACTTGTCCCTTTTCCTTCCAGCTATGATTCAATATGGAGTTAAGGCAGAATTCAAAAGAATACTGGAGGGAGGTTAGGGTTATCAGCCCTCTCTCACATTTTTCTTGCTTACTCAATCCTCTGATCTTCATCCTACCTTCCACCAATTGTCAGAGGCAAAAGCCAAATAGACAAAGATTGTTGAGAAGGCTGATTTAACAGCCTTCTTTTTGCTTTCTTTTTTTCTTTCTTGTACTCACCCTCACACTTCTCTTTGGATAGCTTTGCATCAATAGGGAGACTTGATAGCAGGAGGGTGTGACATTTATTATTTAAGTTTCCTCTTGAGAGCTGGCATCAAGCAAATGCCATTCCAGTCAGGGTCTTTGACCTCTATAAAATCTGCTTTTTGGGAGTGTTAAAAAGATAAGCATTGTTAAAAATCCCATAGCTGGTTCATTAGTCAAAATTTCCAGTGATACATTAACCTGCTAAGTAGTGGCCCTAGTAAGCTTATACTGTATTAAGAGCAGCATTCAAAACAAAATACAGCTGCTCCTGGTTCAAGGAGAGACCAATTTCATTTCATGTTAATTGAGCAGAAAGACTTTCCGCACTCACTAGTCATATGACCAAGCAGATTGCCTAATTCTGAGGCTTTCTTAACCTTTCCTCTTGTTAAATTATGACTAAGAGCCATTCTTTTGTGAGAATAAATTATGTATGTAAATGAATTTTAAAGTTAAAATATTCTTTGTCAAAATAGATATGTTTGATTATGAGAAACATTGTTTCTTCACATAATATGTTAGTTAATTAAAGCTGGAGAAAAGCTCAACACACTTCCAGTTATCTGAATTCATTCATCTTTATTCATTTATAGATTTATATATATTTTTGTTCAGTAAATCTCAAATGTCTATGACTGTTGCTGATACTAGAGTTGTAGCAGTTAACAAGGTAGATCATAGATCCAGCTCTTATAGGGTTTACATTTAGATGGATATCTTACTTCTTGAGGATTTTTTTTTCCTATTAAAAATTCAGTAGGAGGCAATTTATCATTGACTCGCCCAACTATGTATAATTGTAGCTGTCCATTTAGAAGAATTTGTGAATTACTATTAAATGTTAGAGGGCCTACGTAAAAATAAATAAATAAACTGTGTTGACCTGTGAGAATGTCTTCAGGACAGGGTACCTCATGGGGCAGTTACATAATTATGTTCCTATGCATTTCTCGATCCTGTACCAGATTAAGTACATAAGTAATGTTATTGAATGTGTTGCTGTGCTTTCATTGATTGGTTGATATCTCACATAATTACAGTCTAATTCATTATCACATAAATTCCATCTTGTATTTATAAGAGGACAGTCAAATAAAACTTTATCAAGGCTATTATATCCCTTTACAACTTGGAAACTTTGAAAGATGTGATTACTTATTATTAAGCAAAAGTACTTTAAAAAAAGGAATCATAAATTAATTATCCAAAGTTTGCAAACTGTTCTCCCCAGATTTACATTATTTAACTTTTAGGATGAATTTTAGTGTTTTCGGTTAAGTACTACATATTAAAATGGGAATTCAAAAGTTCTTAAAAATTATAAGTTTAAAAATTACTTCAAATTATTAAATGTAACCATTTTCAACATCTGTTGAATATCAAGCTAGTTGAATACCCTCATTTATGCCTGTATACAACTGGACAGATAAATGGATGGATGGATGGATGGAAAGAGGAACAGAAGTTATTTTGCAGAAATTGAATTATGCTACAACTAATTAAAATATTAAATTTATACTTGAACTTATCAAAAAATGAAATAGGAATGAAGCTACCAGTGTTGAACTTGAAATGTTTCATAAACACAAATTTACTCATTCTTAAAATACTCCTTATGATTAAGAAATAAGGTTTAAAAAATATTGAGATAGGTATAATTTTAAGTTTCACTCTTAGTATCAATTTAATCCTGCCATTAAAGATAAAAGTAATGCATCTGTACTCACCTCTTCTCTCTCTTTTAGATTTTGTAGCTATTTCTGTTTTGTAAACATATTTAAAATCTGCATTCCCTTTGTAACCATAATCTCTGTACTTGCTTTATTTTTGTATTTTGTATTTAAATGGATTCACTGCTCTTCCCCAGTCACATTCATAATATTTGAGGGATTTTTAAAAAGTTATGTCCAGATTGGCTGGATTTCATTGTCATATTTGTATGCCTTTTCAATTATGGCTCATGGATGATATATTGCTGAAAATTCTGCTTGTTCTTAAAATTTTATAATTATCTATGTATGGCTTTTTTTTTGCTTTTTTTTTTTTTTTTACTTGCAAGAGGATACTGAGCACTCATTACCATGTTAGACTGAGTGTACAGAGATATACGCATTGAAATTCCTGACCTGGGGAACTTTAAAGTTGAACAGTCAACCATATACTATACTAAATACAATGACAGTTATGCCCCAGATGTTGTATGAATTTTCTTTTTTTTTTTTTTTTAAGATTTTATTTATTTTTTGACAGAGAGAGACAGTGAGAGAGGGAACACAAGCAGGAGGAATGGGAGAGGGAGAAGCAGGCTTCCTCCCGAGCAGGGAGCCCGATGCGGGGTTCGATCCCAGGACCCTGGGATCATGACCTGAGCCAAAGGCAGATGCTTAACGACTGAGCCACCCAGGCACCCCAAGTTTTCAAAAGGGGAAGAAGAGTTTGGGCAAAAGCACAGAGATGAGAAACAAGCATGCAGAAGCACCATCAGAATTTCGATAGCCTGGGAGTGCATGGTAAGACCCAACAGGGTGGTAGAAAGTCAGGGGCGGGAGGTATAGACTGGCCCTTAAAGGCCCTGAAACCCAAACTTTCTTCATAGGCAACTGTATAATAAAACTGTGTCAGTCAATTCCTGCCCCACTCCTACCTCCACCCTCAGCTGTATGCTGTCAAAATTTGACTGTCTTTTGGCATGGAGAATTACATTTGTCCTTTTTTCACGACATTTTTGAGTTGACTCTATCACAGAGTTGACTTTTTCAGGAATGGCTCTGGTAACACACATATTCCCTGAAAAAATATATGACACACATTTGACAATGTCTGCCAGTTGCTTTTGCACTTGAGAACAACTTGGCTACAAATAATATCGCAGTTTCACACCTCCTTTCTTTCAGTATCTGCAGGATACTACTCTACTCTTTTCAGGCAATAGATTTTGCTTTATGGAATGATGAAGCCAGCTTAATGTTAAGCTTCTCTTAGGATACCTGAAGAATTTTGTTTCTCTTATCCTTTAAGATTATATATATACACCTGGGGGTTATAAATTTCTGTAAGTTGTCACCTCTTATTTTTTTTCTGAAAATAAAAAATGTGTACCCTTTTCACTTGTGGTTTCAGTTCTTTCTGTACTCTAGGGCTATTTTACTGTATTATATCTTGAATAATTGTCTGGTTTATTTCTTAACCTCTTTTTTGTTAAGTATCGTCATCTGACCTTTCTTTTTTTTATTCATTGTCTTCTAATTAATTATATATTTATCTCTTCCCTTTACACTTATCTCAAATCAATATGCCAGCTTTTCATTTTGAAACCTTATTTCTTTCTGGCTCTAATTTGTTTACTTATCCTGTTTTGACCTTGTTTAGAGTCTTTATTTTTCCCTCAGCTCTAAATTCCCCATTTTTGTATGTTTGCATTGACTTGTCATCTTGTCCTGGAGCTCTTGTTTTGTTGAATCTAGTTGCTTAAATTCTCTAACATGAAGAATTCTCATGTAATTCTTCTTCTGTTCCTTGGGTTGTGTTTAATTTCAAACTGGGGATTGTTCCTTTATTTTGTCCTGCTTTGTTTTACTCAGTGTGTTTATACAGTGACTGTGCCTTTCTTTGCCCCCATCACTCTTATTTAGTTTGGGATTTGTATTCTTACCTCACCATATTTTACTATGGTGGGAATTTACTCTGACATGCTTTGTTTTTGTCTTGCTGTGGTAGCTGAAATATTCACTCTCCCTGGCCCTGGAAGATGTCCACTCCCCCATTCCCTAGAGCCTTTGAATATGTTACCCTAAGTGTCAAAAGAGCCTTCGTGAAGGGCGTAAGTTAAGGATTTTGAAAGGGGAAGATTATGTTGGATTACCTGTGTGGCGCTGATATAATTGAAAGAATCCTTAATAGAGGGGGGTAGGAGAGTGGTAGACTAGAGATATGGCAGTGAAGGCAGTTGTTGAAGTGATGTGTTTTGAAGATGAAGGGAGGTAAAAAGAGCCAAGGAATGCAGACAGCCTCTAAAGTCTAGAAAAGAGATGCAGGATCTAGTTACAATGTAGCTGTAACGTGCTGCCTTGTCTTTGCCCCCTGCTCAAAATAAAGCTGTTACCTTTCTAGCCCTGTCCGCCATGGTGCTTAGCAGCCAGGGATGCATGGTCTCAGACATGTTTACCAAGTAAAA